CCAAATGTTATATAGTAGAGTGTAAAAGATAACTGCATGCAAAACACTTGATTTTCAGTGCTGGGTGAAATAATTTTCAGTAAACAAATTAGATTTATTATTGGAATCTGTATTCTAAATAACAGCACATAGAATCACACTAATTAGTGCTGGAACTTTAAGCAAGCGTACAAGGATCTAAGCTTGCATAGTACAATACCCCCACACATACAGTCCCTGATTACTTTTTTATTTTTTTTTAGTCTTCTGTAACAACAACCCTATGCAACTGATGCCACTGTATTTTTATGCTGTTTGTTGTAGCATCTAAAATGTTAACAGCAATTAAATACACCAAAACATAGAGAAAAATTACATTTTTAGGCATGTTATGACTTAGCTTATACTAGTGTGCCCATGTTAATAAATTATGCATTTTGTTTGCTGTAATCTTTGCATGTGGATTGGAGGTCCTTGTACGCATTCTATCCCATACATTTTGATACTGTAATATACTTACTGTGATTTGTTATGTTATAGAATCTCTTTTTTGTCATCCTCCTCTGCTATATACCCCTGAGGAAAGAGAATTATCTGAAACGCGTCGGCTTTCCAACGGATACATTTCCAGTGGAACAATAAGAGGAGGTTCTTTTGACATCAGCTAAAGCTTCTTCATTCACATTTAATGTAGCCACCATGTTGTGATTTTTGTGGGACTAATACATTTGTAGTAATTTGTAGCATTTTATTGCATTAGAATAAATCTTTTTCATTTTAACTCAATATTTCAGCTGTTGCCCTTAAAGTCCCTTGTCCAAATATTGGTGGTCCTCCGATCTTTCTGTATAATTATGGGATGTTGGCAACTATTTAAGGACACAAGCTGGTGATATTTGTATTTGTAATCTTTGCATGTGTGTTCCTACCCCTTGTGAACAAATTCTGTGAGCATAGGATTAGAATGTTGACGTGCCATTGGTATACAATCATACGGGCATATTCATTAGAAATTTGGGCCTATACTTACCTATGAAGTTCCGAAATGAGGTGCTTAGCAATAGTGCTCACACCACACTCTGAGAAACAGTAAATACTGGTTCTTCAAAGTTTAATGAAGTTGCTATGTAAGTGTAAGTAAAAAAATAACAAAAGCAGAACTTAAAAAGATCTGGATGACTATGAATTGTCATTGCAAGTTCTATGCTCTCTGAACACAGTCAACAACCTATTCAGAATGTATTAAGCCACCATGGGGTCTATTTATAAAGAAAATTGATGTGGGACACAGCCATCATGAATAATTCCCATAGTTTGCTGAATATTTTTATTTCCTATAACCACTCGCCCTCCAGAGGATTTACCCCCCTTCCTGACCAGGCCATTTTTTGCATTACGGCGCTGCGTTACTTTAACTGACAATTGTGCAGTCATGCAATGTTGCACCCAAATGAAATTTACGTCCTTTCTTTTCCCACAAATATAGCTTTCTTTCGGTGATATTTGATTGCCTGTGCTTTTTTAATTTTTAAAAAAAATCCCGATTTAAAAAATCCCGACAATTTTGAGAAAAAAAAAAACAATATTTCTGACTTTTTGCTATTAAAAATGTCCAGTAAAAAAATTAAAAACATCTAATTTCGCATCATGAATTTAGGCCCAAATGTATTCTGCTACATGTCTTTGCTAAAATAAATCCCAATAAGTGTAAATTAATTGGTTTACATGAAAGTTATAGTTTTACAAATGGAAGTATAGATACTGGAATTTTTTTTTTACTAGTAATGGTGGCGATCAGTGACTTATAGCGGGACTGCGGTGGGCATTCTGACACTGGGGGGGGGGACTGACTTGGTGTCACTGACATTCCCAGTGACTGACACTGTACTAATGGCACTGGGCAGGAAGGGGTTAACATTGTGCTGTTTTACAGTAAGGTGTGTCAATGCTTTCAACTGTAAGCACACTGCTTTGCATGTCTCTTCTATGCAGAGCCATACAAAGCAGTGTGCTGGAGCTGACAGGGGAGAGAACTGTATTGTTTACATACAGTCCTCTCCCCCCATCGGTAATACTTGGCGATCACCGTGTGCCAGCGAGAAATCACCGGCTGGGACCTGGTGATTGACAGCTGAGGCTGCAAATAGCGGCGCGGGTAGGGTGCGGGTAGGGCGCGTGCACGGACCGCATGCACCCCCTACCCAGAAATGCAAAATCACATGTATATGTGATTTTCCGCACCTTTGCCACCTTGTAACAGTATTTCTGCGATAGGGCGGCAGGAAAGTGTTTTTTGTCACTTCTTTCTAGTGGTCATAATTAGGTATTTTTCTGATTGAGGTATTTCAGAAAACAAACTGCATTATGGTCACTAGGTGGAACTGATGAGCCTGGAAATAAACATTAGCAAAATATGGGGATTATTTGTTACATGCTTGGAACATTTGTGCATATTTTATTTATTTATTTTTTTTAATAAATAGGTTGTTATGTTTGTTTAGAAGTATCCAATTTTAATTCATACCTTCTTAAAAGTGCAATTAGAGCACTTGTTCTTTATTAGCCATGACACTTACTAGTTCAAGAGGAGTGAAACATTTATTCCATTTTACTGACAGTTCTATGACAGCCCCAGAACTAGAATGCTATTGAAAATTCAGAATGCCTTACAGAAGTTGAAGACTTCATGACCACATCTAAATGACAGAAAGTTTTATTCATAAACATATTATTTTAGTTGATGTAACTGTATATTACAGTTTTCCTCAAGAGCAAATTGCTTTTAGCAATTACAGTAGAAGATAATATATATATATATATTTCAAAGTGAAAATATATTGCTGCAAAGTGATTATAAAAAAAATTCAATGCGAACACATAAAATAGCATACAGCATAAGTACTCATTGTACGCACCTCCTTGAAATGAGTATTTAGTAGATGAGCTCGGGCCTGTGCGGGTAGGTCCCTATCAGCTATGTATATCTGAACAATTTTCCCCCATCCCGCCTTGCAAAACTACTCCAGCTCTGTTAGGTAGCTTGAGGATCAAGAGTGAATAGCTACACATTCTTTACTGAATTAGAACTGATTGAGATGGACTCTGACTGGCAATTGTAGTAGATATACAGGTACTGTATCTGAAAGGTCCCACTTTGTTAAGGATAAGTTCACCTTTTGAAACATGTTCCCGCTTTTAGGGTGCAACATGTAACATGTTCCAGCATCTGCAGCTCTCCCCACACTGCCCCCTCCTTGTGACAGCAAACTGGGTGAGTGTACTGACAGCCTGCAAGAGCCAGACATTGCACCTATGGTCTTCTGATCATGGGTGCAAGGATTTACAGGCTCTCAAGAAAATAAATAAAAAATGCACATTTTTTACCTGTAAAAAAAAAAAAAGTGCATTTCTTTTTTTTTTTTTTTTTTTTTTTATCCTTTAAATCAGTATCATGATATTTCCAACATCATAAAGACAAAAGAACACTCCAAAAGAGGAAAGCACAAGTCGGGATGGATGCAAGAACATTTCCAAGTCACTGAATATCATTTGGAGTACCGTTAAATCAGTCATTAAGAAGTGGACAAGAGCATGACACATTTTCAAATTTGTAAAGTGCTCCAAAAATAACTGCAAGCAAAAGACTTGTAATATGGGCTATCTATGATTTACATGCCTTAGTAGCTGAGATTGGAGAGACTATGCATACAACTTTGCCATTTGCAGTTAAATGGAAGAGTGGCAAAAGAAAGCCACTGTTAACTAAAATTCATATGACATCTCACATACAATTAGCCAAAAGGCACCTGTGAAGTACAGTAGCTCAAATAAAGTTTTATGATATGATGACACTAACATTGCACTTTTTGTCTATATAACCGCAAACAGTTTTGGCATAAGACAAAAACTGCACATCATCAAAATTGCAACATCCCGCCAGTAAACATAGAGGTGGCAGAAAAATGTTGCAGATATACAGTATTTGTCTGCAGAAGGCCATAACAACTTACAGAAAAATTTGGAGGAAAACATGATGAAGTCTGAAAGCAACCTGAGCCTAGGAAGAAAATTTGTCTTCCAGCAAGATAATGATGTCAAGTATAAAGGTAAAATAACACAAGAATGGCTTGAAAACACAAATATTAATGTTCTGGAATGGGTCAGAGTCCATCAAAAAAACAATTTGTAGTGTCCTCACCAACCCCTTGTTGTCTAACAGAGCTTGAACAGTTTTTAAAAGTAGGATGGGAGGAAAAATGCAGGATCCAGATATACTATATTGCCAAAAGTATTGGGATACCTGCCTTTACACACACATGAACTTTAATGGCATCCCAGTCTTAGTCCATAGGGTTCAGTATTGAGTTAGCCCACCCTTTGCAGCTATAACAGCTTCAACTCCTCTGGGAAGGCTGCCCACAAGGTTTAGGAGTGTGTCTTTGGGAATGTTTGACCATTCTTCCATTTGTGAGGTCAGGCATTGATGTTGTACGAGAAGGCCTCGCTCACAGTCTCCTCTCTAATTCATCCCAAAGGTGTTCTATTGGGGTGAGGTCAGGACTTTGTGCAGGCCAGTCAAGTTCTTCCACCCCAAGCTCACTCATCCATGTCTTTATGGACCTTGCTTTGTGCACTGGCATGCAGTCATGTTGGAACAGGAAGGGACCATCCCCAAACTGTTCCCACAAAGGTGGGAGCATGAAATTGTCCAAAATGTCTTGGTATGTTGACTCCTGAAGAGTTACCTTCACTGGAACTAAGGGGCCAAGCCCAACCCCTGAAAAACAACCCCACATCATAATCCCTCCTTCCACCAATCTTTACACTTGGCACAATGCAGTCAGGCAAGTACCGTTCTCCTGGCAACTGCAAAACCCAGACATGTCCATTGGATTGACACACAGAGAAGCGTGATTTGTCACTCCAGCGAACACGTCTCCACTGCTCTAGAGTCCAGTGGCGGTGTGCTTTATACCACTGTATTCAACGCTTTACATTGCACTTGTTGATGTAAGGCTTCGTTGGATGCAGCTGCTCGGGCCATGGAAAACCATTCCATGAAGCTCTCTATGCACTGTTGTGCTAATATGATGGCCACATGAAGTTTGGAGGTCTTTAGCTATTGATTCTGCAGACAGTTGGCGACTTCTGTGCATTGTGCACTTCACCATGTGCTTACCCTGTTCTGTCATTTTACGTGGCCTACCACTTCATGACTGAGTTGCTGTTTTTACCAGTTGCTTCCACTTTGTTATAATACCACTTACAGTTGACTGTGGAATATTTAGTAGCAAGGAAATTTCATGGATGGACTTATTGCACAGGTGATAACCTATCACGGTACCACGCTTGAGTTCACTGAGCACCTGAGAGCAACTCATTCTTTCATAACTGTTTGTAGCAGCAGTCTGCATGCCTAGGTGCTTAATTTAATACACTTGTGGCCATGGAGGTGACTGGAACACCTGAATCCAATAATTTAGAGTGGTGTCCTAATACTTTTTGCAATATAGAGTATATATAGTTGATAGAGACCTATCCACACACTTATTTCCAGAGGTGTATTCTTAAGCAGTCAACTATTCTTCATTTTCCATTGTAATACATTTTAACCACTTTGCATAGATTTCACTTTGACATTGAAGAATATATTCCATTTGATTTAAACTCCATTATGATTCAGTGTTCCATAACAATAACATTTAAAAACATAAAAGGCAGAGAATATTTTTTATAGGGAGCTGTAATCTAGCAATCAAGAGTAGAATTGTGCACCATAGCTGCATGGTCACAGACAATCCTGGCTGTAGCAGGAACAGATATGTTGTACTATGTAAAATAATTTCAGTGCAATAAAAAAGAGAAAGCCATGACAGATTATCATCATACATTATTTAACAGGGAAAATTAGGCTGTTTTACACCAAGTTTAAAAAACTGTGACACAAAACCACTTTTGTGTTAATGAAATAATAATAAAAAATAAATAGATAAATAAATAAAAAAATAAATAAATAATTTTAGAATTAATAAGTCCAGTGACAAAAAATCCCAAAATAGCAGTCCCGTGACAAAATTAATTATATTGTAATTATATTGTAATTTTCATTGGATTCTTCCGTGCCTTTGATCCCTTCACCATCCACCAGTGCAAAACCAACATTAACCGCACTCACCAGATAATGGTGAGTCAAACGCCTTTCAGGGATATTAAGAGCTCCTGGACCCCCTTTACTTTATATAAGACCTCCAAATAATGCCTCCTCTCGGATATGGATACCTCTTCTGGTTACTCCTCTCACCGAATCCCCCAAGGAAAATCAGGAAGAAGAATAAACCATAGCGTGATACCGTAGTGGTTTCTCATCAAAAGAATCTCTCCAGACCACTCACATTTTAGCAGGATATAACCCGCATTTTATTGAAACAAAAACGATCTTTTCCTTAAAAACGATCCATTTTTCATGTACAGCGACTTTTGTATAAAGACCCCACAGCCTAGTATACAGCAGGATGGCAGACCTCAGATGCAGACTCATCCACTATGCTAAGATGGCCCCTTGGAACGCACCGCTCGGCGTGCGTTCCACTCACCGGAAATGACGTCATACGCTGGAACAGGCAACCGGAAGTGCGTCAACGCGTTTCGCCCCACCCACAGGGCGTTATCAAGACGCTCTTTTCCTCTGCCAAGCCGTTTATAAAGCAGTGGGAGATCTCTCCCACTAATTACTCTGGACACAAAACTATCCATCACCGCCATCCCTCTGTATACCCATGTGGGGTCCCCTTACAACAAAGACAAATGCATTTGTATTTGTTGTAAGGGGACCCCACATGGGTATACAGAGGGATGGCGGTGATAGAAAGTTTTGTGTCCAGAGTAATTAGTGGGAGGGATCTCCCACTGCTTTATAAACGGCTTGGCAGAGGAAAAGAGCGTCTTGATAACGCCCTGTGGGTGGGGCGAAACGCGTTGACGCACTTCCGGTTGCCTGTTCCGGCGTCTGACGCAATTTCCGGTGAGTGGAACGCACGCCGAGCGGAGCGTTCCAAGGGGCCATCTTTGCATAGTGGATGAGTCTGCATCTGAGGTTTGCCATCCTGCTGTATACTAGGCTGTGGGGTCTTTATACAAAAGTCGCTGTACATGAAAAATGGATCGTTTTTAAGGAAAAGATCGTTTTTGTTTCAATAAAATGCGGGTTATATCCTGCTAAAATGTGAGTGGTCTGGAGAGATTCTTTTGATGAGAAACCACTACGGTATCACGCTATGGTTTTTTCTTCTTCCTGATTTTCCTTGGGGGATTCGGTGAGAGGAGTAACCTGAAGAGGTATCCATATCCGAGAGGAGGCATTATTTGGAGGTCTTATATAAAGTAAAGGGGGTCCAGGAGCCCTTAATATCCCTGAAAGGCGTTTGACTCACCATTATCTGGTGAGTGCGGTTAATGTTGGTTTTGCACTGGTGGATGGTGAAGGGATCAAAGGCACGGAAGAATCCAATGAAAAATACAATATAATATAATTACAATATAATTAATTTTGTCACGGGACTGCTATTTTGGGATTTTTTGTCACTGGACTTATTAATTCTAAAATTATTTATTTATTTTTTTATTTATTTATCTATTTATTTTTTATTATTTTTCATTAACACAAAAGTGGTTTTGTGTCACAGTTTTTTAAGTTTGTTATTTATTAATTATTAATTTAATGGGTTGGGTGATGCAATTTATTATGTGGGTTTGCGCTGGTATTTATTGATATAAGTTTTTTTTGTTTTTGCACCTGTGTACAGCAGCATCTCACGGGGAATTGTGTGTGTAATAAGAGAGTCCTGGGCGCTGAGGTTTTTTCTTTTCTACATGTTTTACACCAAGAACTAGAGTGCTTGGGCAGTACGATAAAGAGGGCAGCACCAGTTACAATTTTTTCTGTAGGGGGGCTGATGTGTTCTAAAGTCTTAGGCGCAGGGGCGGACTGACCATTTGGAATCTCGGGCACTGCCCGAGGGCCCGGGGTCAGTAGGGGGCCCCATGAGATGCCCCTGGTACCTTTTTCATAGGCTTTTTTTGAGTTTGGGTAAGGACACAGGGGCCCTATGATCCCCTATTGCCCGGGGCCCCATGAGTTGTCAGTCCGCCCCTGCTTAGGTGCATAATGTTAACACCCTCAATTCATTTACAAATAAGAAATCCACATAAACAAATCACCATAAAATAAATATCAGATCTCTAAGTGCAAATATCATTTAAAAACATTTGAGAATATTAATAAGTAAAGTCCATGAACAATCACAATATTCTCCAGTGATGAAGTTAAAGTTGGCTTCTGGTCACGTCATTTCCTGAACGCTGGAAAGCACGCCGGCTCTAGGATTCCAGGTAGCGGCAGCACCAGCATTTGTATTACATACGCTTTATCTTTAGTGCTGATGTTTAGGCACTTGAACATGTAAGCATTTTATATTCATTGTTTTATCATGGAATTTTAATAAACAATACTACACTATACACTATTTCTATTCTTGGGTTCCTATGTGGCTATGTGAAGTGTATTAGAAGGTCGGAACACCATCACAGGCCATGTCCTATCCATACCTTAAAGGGATACTAACAAGCACTTTTGACCTTCTTTTTAATTAAAAGAGGTCATGCCAGTCTGATGAGTTATATAATTATAGCCTGATCACTGGGTGAAATATGGATACTATATGGTGAAGGATTCAGAGCATCAAGTATCTTTGCACTTTAAAGACATTTAGCTTCATCACTGGAGAATATTGTGATTGTTCATGGACTTTACTTATTAATATTCTCAAATGTTTTTATATGATATTTGCACCTAGAGATCTGATATTTATTTATTCTTTTATGGTGATTTGTTTATGTGGATGTTGTATGTGTATATGAATTGAGGGTGGTTACTTTATGCACCTAAAACTTTAGAAAACATTAGCGCCACCTACAGAGAAAGTTGTGGTGTATGGTAGTATTTGATCACTATTGGGGTGGCAGTTTAGGATTGACATTTTGGGCGCAAAGTTTTTTCACATATTTATACCATTTACAATTTTGCATTTCATGCTCTACTTTTCTTATATACTTAGGGCACCTATGAGTTCATTCGGCTATAAAACTAAAGGATTACAAGTCTTGATGATTAAAATGAGCTATAGTACATTTTTTACCTTCAATAAGATACATTTTCTCCTTCTTTGGAAGTTCTTGATTTGTAGACTTTGTGGACAAATAAGCTTTGTGCATTAGAATTAAATAACATGTTGCCTCCGTTCTAGTTTTAAATGTACAACTTTAGACAGCCAGTAACAAAAGAGACAGATTGGCATCTGTATATGAGAGCGTTATCATTCAATTGCACCTGAGTAAATCTGAAACAAGATAGCCCCAAGAAAAATCTTTGTGTCAGTATATTTTGGTAGTTATTTAACGTTCTGTAGACATACACTAACTTTCAGGTATACTTTTGGGAGGCGTTTGTGGTTATGGTCCATTAGTGCTTTGCACTCTCCCATTCTAATGCAGTGGTTTGTTTAGAGACTGCTTTCCTAGACTCTCTCACTGACCTCCGCACCTTGGTATACAGAGGGGCTAGGGGCTACAGAGATGTACTTAGTCCTACTATAGCTATCTGCAGGTCTGCGCTATAGCTAGACACAGGTTTCTTAGGGCTAATCACTGACCTCCTGTCCATCTTCTGTGGTGGAACCTCTCCCCTGGCCATTTTCACACTATCCCAGAACCCCAGATATAGTCATGTAATGGTGTTAAAACCATGGATGACATAATGCTTGCTGACTCTCTGCTCTATTTTTCACAACTCTGTCAAAAGTTTTGACTTCCTGGCCAGATGTTGTTTAGAGATCTCCAACTGCAACACACCACAAGGTCTCAGTTTCTGCATACATTAGCCCTCCAAGCTGACCCCATAGAGGAGTTGCTAGTCCAGGGGGATCTGTGTAAACTCCACTCCTCCTTATATACTGCCTTTCTCTGTATTGACTCCCCGAAGGTTGAGCATCTGTGGGATCACTGGAAGACTGATATATTGGGGGAAGATTGAGAGGACTGCCTTGAGAGCTGTCCCAAATTGGTTATCTCCTCTAGGGATAAGCCAATCCAAATGAAATTTCTGCACAGAGTGTGCTATACCCCCATGTAATTACATAGAATTTACCAAGAATATACCTTCTGTCTGCACTGTTTAATCAATTGGACCTTTTACCTTCATGTTGTGGGATTGTCCCAAGGTAGCCTACTTTTGGGTGAATGTGTTTGACCCTCTAAACACTTTGTTACAAATTAACCTTCCAGTGTCCCTGGAGTTGAGCTTATTAGGTGTACATGAAGAGGTTTAGAGACCATACCACATTGATTAAATTGTTGATCT